TTTTATTCAGATATTATATGTTTCACCTTTAAATGTCCTATTTAGTTCTATTTCCCATTATCTCTTCTTTATGTTCCTATACTGCTTTAAAGTTACTGTCTATTAATTCCATCATCTCTGTTATTTTTGAGGTCTGTGTCTAATGACTGACTTTTTTGTTGGTGATGGGTCATATTTTCCTGCATCTTCTCATGTCTAGTAATTGTTGATTGTATACTAGATACTTCGATTTTACTTGAGTGTTTAGATTTTGTTATCTTCCTTCAAAGAGTGTTACATCTTGTTCTGGAGAGCAGTTATTTGCAAATATGATATTTTACACTCTTATTTGTTAGCTTTGTTAGTGTATGGTTTAGCTTTTACTCCGACTTCTTTGAAATATCTACTGAATGCCTGTGTGTTCAATAATGACACTCTTCTGACTTTTCTCCAAAGTTAAGCAAATATTGTAGCACCATTTATTAAATGGTCATTTTTTCCCCATATACTTCATATCCTTATGTGTAATCATCAACTTTACCATATTCTAAATTTTTATAAAGTAACCTGTTTCTGGCCACCTGATTTCATTGATATTTCTTTTAATTTGTATGCCTATTCCATATGAATTGTAGCTTTATAGTATCTCTCAATTTCTTCAAACAGAAGTTTTCTTGAGAGCATTGATATATTGAGCAAAAATCTTCTGTTTCAATAATATCTTGGCTCATCTCATTCATTTTTTCTAAAAGAGTCACATACCATTTCTACCTTTATATTCTCTTCTTAGCCCACCTAAGTATGACATCTCTTCCCCGAAAGGTAACATATGACCTAATTCCTATGCCTGGTAAATGTTAATTTCCTTCCTGAAACTTTCTTTTCCTTTATTCTTCAGGTATTCTTTCTGTTTGTATTTCTTTTAGGACTCTATCTTAATATCCTGTTCTGCTTCTTTTTCCTGTCCTTATGTGCAGTCATACCCTAAAATTCTGACCTTAACTCTGTTTGCAGTTTCTACTAAATTTCTGGGCTATACCTTGCTTCCTTGGTGTCAACAGTATCCTTTATATAAATGACTCACACATTTACCTTTATACCCTTTGGTCCCATAGTTCTGAAGCTGTGCTATCAAGTTCTTACTTAAATGTCAATAGGTCAAAATAAAATCCATTGCTCCTCTGTCCCCGTCCCCGTTCTTTTCCTTTACACTGCTAGCAGCAACACCTACTCAGCCATCCTTAGGGAAACTTCAACACTGTTGCTCTCTGCCTTTGCCCAAATGGTGCAAGCTAGTTCCCTCTGGAATATTGACTCTTGAAAGGTCTGTTACTAGCACTAATGTTCCTCAGAAGCTCTTATCCAGCTCAAAGGTTACTTCTTATATTACCAAACATACTTATTCACTTCTTTAAGTGTACTTTCTGTTTTATAACTACATATTTTAGTGGAATTATTTATATATCTGGTTGTTCTAACCAAATAGTGATATTCTTTCAGATTGGTACCATTTCCTCTCATTTTGTCTGCAGCTTTTTCACAGTGGTTGTACTGAATTGGTGTTCTGTAAGTTTTGTTGCACTTTATGAATCGTTTCTCTGACTACTGTCCTCTCAGATTTTTTAAATTGATTCTCTAGTTGCTGCTAGAGTTGTGTACTTAAAATTATGCTAATTTTTTTCGGACTTTCCTGGTGGCACAGTGGTTAAGAATCCTCCTGCCAGTGCAGGGGACCTGTGTTTAAGCCCTGGTCCAGGAAGATCCCACATGCCGCAGAGCAGCTAAGCCCGTGTGCCACAACTACTAAGCCTGCACTCTAGAGCCTGTAAGCCACAACTACTGAGCCCACGTGCCACAACTACTGAAGCCTGTGCTCCTAGAGCCCATGCTCCACAACAAGGGAAGCCTGCACACCACAAGAAAGAGTATCCCTCACTCGCCACAACTAGAGAAAGCCAATGCGCAGCAACAAAGACCCAACACAGCCAAAAATAAATAAATAAAATTATGCTAAAATTTTTAACCCAAATGTCTTTGACACTCCTTATCTACAAAATTAATCTCTAAACCATATCATGGCAGTCAAGGTCCTAAACAATCTGGCCTCATCTTTGTGGGGTTTTTTTTGTTGTTTTTCTTTTTTTTTTGCTTAAGTTCTGTCATTATCATGAATGTGTATTATTGTTCTTCAGCTACATTCCCTCCCTCTGTGTTGTTTCCTTGCCATTACTATTTTTTTTCTTTAGAATTAATTTCTTCTACATACATCTATTAATTACCTCCTATGTTGATGGACTATACTAGGCTGTGGTCAAAATATTAAGAAGGATAGAACTTGTGGTCAAAATTTTAAGGTGGATATTAAGAGGGATTAATTTGTTCCACATACATTTATTAATTACCTACTATGTTGATGTACTATTACTAGTCTGTGGTCAAAATATTAAGATGGATAAAACTTGCACTGTTTTGTATGCTTCCCTTATATTGTCCATTTGTGAAAAATCCATCCTTCAAAACGTGAGATACTACCTTATCTGTGAAGTCTCCTCAGATCATTCCAATAAAGATTAATCATCCTTTGCCTCCAAAGCATTTTTAATATTGGAATTACAGAATTTCTCATAGCTCTCTTGTTTTTTATCTGTGCATATATCTCCTTCATCGGGTTGAATTTCTTAAGGTCAGGGATTATGTCTTAATCACGATTATATGCCCTCTTTTTCTCTTCCCAGTGTCCAATAACAGTGACTTTAACATAAGTTATTGATGGTCACTAAATGGAAAGTTGGTTCAAAGCCAAGGTAGAAACTTAGAAGGAATATTCAGAGAAAATCAGGAGAGTTAAAGTACCAAAGCCAAGGAATGTTTATAAGAAGGAGAGGGTAATAAGTGATGTTCTAAGCTCCAGAACGAGAAGTTCTTGGTTATGTTAACAGGAATAAGTTCCATAAAGTAGCAAGGGTAGACATCAGAGGAGAGCAGATTGAGAAATAAATAGAGTTCTTCTCCTTAAGTAGCTTTTTTTTTTCAGCTGATATTTTTACAGAAATTGGCTGGAAGACAAATTGAAGATTTATGGTCTAAATAAAGATCTAGAAGCCTGCATGTATTATGTTGATTTAGGGAAGATCTATATCTTTTGTATTGTAGATGAGTGGGTACTAGGCTTGACATTTGAAGAAAATTTAGAAATCTAACCACTACTTTCATCCCATTAGAAGACTACCATAAATCTGGGTCACAGGGGTTCCTTTGTCAAAATTAGTTATATTTTGTATTAAAGGATGACAGAAATTACTTTGACCTAGAAATATTTCAGAATGGTTTTACTGATGACCCATGCTTCTTTCTACTTCCTGTCTTTGTTTGAATGGTAGAGCATTAATAATATGTATGTGTCTGTATAAAATGAATGAATTTTGAAGCATATCCCTGAGTAATTTTATACATTGGTTTGATTTTTGGCATAGTATATTTGGTCATTTATAAGACACATTGAACATTTCTTCAGTCAGAATGCCTTTTATATTTGATGGTGTGTCATAGTTTTAATTGACCTCATTTTTTTTTCTTGGTATTAACATAAAAAGTTGGTGGAGTTGCAATCAACAGCATCTTAGATTTGATAAAGTATGACAATATAGTAGAGAGAATTAAAGTTTAGAGACTATCTGCCAAACAGTTTTACTATAAGTAATGTTGAACCAGTCTTTTTTGGCAATAGTTACATGATATTACCTCTTCTTCTCTCTTTACTATGACAATGGGTTATGCATAAATTTTATCTTAAAATAATGATAAACTCTTAAGTGGAGTTGGCGGTGGGAAAAGGGAAGATGGACTCTATAGAGAACCTCTTTTATGTTACCTAAATTATGATTTGGTGTGTGAGAAACAAATCTCAGTTAACCATAATTCTTATAAATTTGTAGAAGCAGTTTGTAGGAGTAATCCATGTGAAAATATAGTTAATTTCTGATCTTGCAGTCAAGAATACATTGACTGATTGGTTCATTTCTTTAATCAAAGACATGTATTGAGTACCTACTGTGATACTCGGCAGTGTACTCAGCACTGCGAACCATCTTTTGTTGTTCTTGGTGGATTTCTTAATACAGTGAAACAGTACACAGAAAGGTCAGTAGTCAATTCATAGTGCCTGAAACCGGCTCCTTCCTCATATACATTATTGAACTGAGAGCTGAAACAGGCAATTTCTTAAATAAAGAGGCTGTCTAAATGGAGAGCTGGATGCTTGACCACAGTGAGAACCCAATAAATACTTGTTGACTGTTGTTAACAGGAAATGGATGGCCTTATACTTTTAAGTGATTACATGAGAAAAGATTGGTATCATAGTTAATTATTATTGAAATAGGAAGAGTATGCATTGAGAACTATTAGGGGAATAATGGGAGCTTCTCAGTCCATTTTGGGCATTACTAACATAAATTGAAAATGTAAAGCCTCACAGTTTCTCATTGCAGAAAACATGGATTTAAACATTGAAAACATTTCTAGAGGTATCATGATGAATCAAGAGTTGTAGAATTTAACAAGTTCACATAAATAAGGTTCCACAAATCAGCAGTCCTTTCTTTGAAATCAAGTGTAACTCAGATAATTAAGTCGAAATATTCCATCTATGCTTATGTGCATTTATTTTAATAAAGTCTCAATACCTAATCCTCGAAAGAGTGAAGCAACAGTATACTGAGGGGGAGATGTAATCTGATGATGCATACTTTTTCCTCTGGTAACTGAAGGTTAAATGGGTAGCAAGCAGAATGCCTTAAACAAGATTGGTATATTGATTAAAGTGCTGATTTAACAGCTCGCAGTCTCCCCTTGGAAACCTGGAAAAGATAAGCCAGCTGCTGTCTAAGACTGCTCAGTGTCCGCTGAGAGTACACTATCTATCATCACAATATGGTGATGAGAGGTGTTTTATGTTTGTGTTAATTTCCCCCACTAAATCAGTAATTATTACAATCCTGTCCCTGCTGTTTACCCTGCAGCTGTTTTTCCATTTGTCGAGAGAGAGGGTGTTCTCTGAGGACCGCACACGTTTCTATGGTGCAGAAATTGTCTCTGCCTTGGACTATCTACACTCCGGAAAGATTGTGTACCGTGATCTCAAGGTAAAAAAGAAAAGTAATCAGAATTTGTTTTTGCAGAGGCTGTAGGGACAAACACAAAGTAATTACAAAGTTACACAGTTTGGAGAAAAGCAGATTTAGTTGGGAAATAAAACCACTCTGTTTAAGAATTTGGTTCACTGTATTTGACAGGAAATTTCATTCACTGATAAATGTGTAGTAGTTTTATGTCTGAGTTTTTGACATGCAAAATAAAGTTCTTCTTGACTGCTCTGATCAAATATGATCTACCAATAATAGTTTCGTTTTTCTGAAAGTGTAATGAGTAATGTTAAACATCTGATTATGTCAAGTAACTTTGCAAGTGACATTTTAAATAAATTTCATTATTTCCTGTGATGTATTATGAAGAAATTTTTATAATAAATAAGATTATTTGGGGGAAGGAAAATATTTGATTTGGTATTAAATTTTTAGTGGGTTTAAATACCTGAAGCATTTAATATAACCTTTTATCAATTTGTTTAATTTCCATTTTGAAAAGCACTGTATTTGTTTTATCAGTAATAGTGACTTTATTTCTCTAAGTTTCATTCTGTTAAGACCCTCAGAATAGCTCAGGGATTGGCAAACTTTCTGTGAAGGCCAGATAGTAAATATTTTAGGCTTTGCTGCTCTTACAGTGTCTTTTGCAACTCCTCAGTGCTGCTGTTGTAGGGTGAAAGCAGCCACAGACAATATGTAAATGAGCGTGTCTGGCTATGTTCCAGTAAAACTTTAATTACAAAAACAGGCAGTAGGCAAGATTTCATCTACAGGCCATATTTTGCTGACCCCCGGAGTAACTCATAAAAGATAGCAGTAATTCTCGTGACACTGTTTTGAATTAGACTGGTCATATTAAGGAAATTTGTACCATGACACACTCTGAACAAGTTCTAAATGTGACAATCTTACTTTCTTAAAAAGTAAATCATATGATAATCTTGACCTATTAAAATCTGACACAGAATTGCTTTATTTATCAAGTACTAGTTCATTTAAAATATGATTTGTAGAGATAGAAGTTATACTAGTCTTTTATGAAATTCTGTTTCTATGAAATAAGGTATATATTTACATATTATAGCACATAAGAGAAATCACAATTATCCCCTCACTCCCATTCACTCCTTTTTAAACACCTGTAATTCTTAAGTTATCTAATTATTTAAGCAGTTGTCTAAGTTATTTTAAGATGTTGCTATCATATACATTTGTATTATGAATGATCCCTAAGAAGTAACTATCTCAAAAAATATTATTTTACATGATGACAGTGAAATATAGTATGTATTTTTTTAACATCTTTATTGGAGTATAATTGCTCTACAATGGTCTGTTAGTTTCTGCTTTATAACAAAGTGAATCAGCCATACATATACATATATCCCCGTATCTCCTCCCTCTTGCGTCTCCCTCCCACCCTCCCTATCCTATCCTCTAGGTGGTCACAAAGCACCAAGCTGATCTCCCTGTGCTATGTGACTGCTTCCCACTAGCTATCGTTTTACATTTGGTAGTGTATATATGTCCATGCCACTCTCTCATTTCATCCCAGCTTACCCTTCCCCCTCCCTATGTCTTCAATTTCCAAGTCCATTCTCTATGTCTGCATCTTTATTCCTATCCTGCCCCTAGGTTCTTCAGAACCTTTTTTTTTTTTAGATTCCATATATATGTGTTAGCATATGGTATTTTTTCTCTTTCTGACTTACTTCACTCTGTATGACAGACTCTAGGTCCATCCACCTCACTACAAATAACTCAGTTTCTTTTCTTTTTATGGCTGAGTAATATTCCATTGCATATATGTGCCACATCCTCTTTATTGTTTTATTTCTTAACATATTATTGATTAAAGAAGCTATAAAATTCTGTTTTTAGGAAAAATGAACTATGCAACTATATCTATATCAGGGATGATCAACTAAGTGCCAAAATAGACCAGAGATGGATATGAATCAACAATATGATTATATTTAGCCTGCAGCTTTTTATAGCCAGGAGTGGCAGAATTCAGCATCCCTATACCTGATGTCTGAATGGCCAAATAATCCTATAATGTTTAAATGTCTTGAATCCACAGTTTTAAAAAAGAATTTAGTTATATGGTATGATAAAACGTAAGTTATATAGCATTTCCAAATTTACTTAGAAGTAGTTAGCCCTTCTCTGCCTGATCTACTCCCCCCCACCATTCCCACTTTATATTTTATGAATTCTCTTTGTAGGGAGAAGGGAGAGGATTTCCTGGATTTAAGAAAATGAGAATAATTTTGAAGTACTTAGTAATGTATCCAAAATGCTTAAAGCTGGAAGATGGAATTATTAGTCTAAAGAAACAAAAGAATACTCACTTGATTGCTAGCATTGATTAAGGAATGATATAATTGGGATGGTTTGGGTCAGTATCTCCATTGATCATTTCTCATTAATGAATCAACATATTGGTACATTGAAGTTCATTTAATGAGTTTTCTTGGTCCATCCTTTCTGATGATGAAATTAGACTAAATTTATTAAGCCACAGTGCTAATACTTTGTATATGAATACCAGCCATGTAGTTACCATATAAACAGACCACTAACTTTATTAGACAATTAAGTGGCCTCTGCTCTCTAAATTTATTTACTTTTTAATATAACCTTAAGTTAAAGGTCTAAGTAAATGTATAGCATTGGACAGAATCCATGGAACATACACCGAGAAGAATAGATAATGTAAAAAGTCAGACATTCAAAATTTATACGTGTTGTTTGTATCCATATTGCACATGATAGAATGAGATCTTTAAGTAGAGTCATAGAAATTTAGAGCTGACCCATAGTTTACAGCTGATCTCATTGAAGACTAGAAGCCTAGTAAGGGATTTACTCAAAGTAATGCACTAAGTTGGTGACACAGTCAAGATTATTGGATTCCATGAATCCTAGCTCCAGGTATAATGTTCTTTTTATTACACCATTCTGCCTTTCTAGAGATGAAATGAACTTTAGGTGGGGGAATTCATTGGATTAATTCTAGGAGATCTTTGTAAATCTAAAATTTGAATAAAGCTGCCAAAGATAAGAGAAGGAATGTTTTAAATATATTTATACAAAATATATTTAAAATAGCATTATCAAAAACTAATTTAGGTACCCATTTTGATTTGTCTCAGATTTGTCTCTGTCTTCTCCTTACTAATGACCTTGTGTTTATTCAAATACAAATCCATTTGAGATACTTATGGTAGCTGCACCTCTCAAGTAAATCAGTACCTGTTTGCCACTGCCCCATTCATCATTAGAGGTAAAGCCTTATTTCATGTGCAAGTTAATTTAAGACATTTTATCAGTTCATAGTTCCTAATAAGTTGGTGTTCACAGCAGCAGATAAATTATTGCAACTTTTGTTGTAGTTTAAAAAGTAAGTTTGCATAATTTATCAATACATGTCATGATATTAAATTTTCCTTCAGTAAGGACCCAAATTCTTTGTGATTACTTAGGAAAAACTGATATTGCTTTATGATAGCATAAAAATTTGAAGAAATCTCTCCTAAGACTGTGTCAGTAGTACAAGTTTTTTTGAAAACTTCTTTTCTGCTTAGCTCTTGTTTTTGTAAGTATTCAATATAACCTTTCTTTTCAATGACCATGGCCATCCAAGGATAGAATAGGCTGAACTAGGGACATTTGCAAAGGTACTGATACTGGAATTTCATTAAGAATTAATTTCTGGGACTTCCCTGGTGGCGTAGTGGTTAAGAATCCGCCTGCCAGTGTAGGGGACACGGGTTCTATCCCTGGTCTGGGAGGATCTCGCATGCTGCGGAGCAACTAAGCGCATGTGCCACAACTGCAGAGCCCACGTGCCACAGCTACTGAAGCCCACGCACCTAGAGCCCATGCTCCACAACAAGAGAAGCCACTGCAATGAGAAGCCTGTGCACCGCAACGAAGAGTAGCCCCCGCTCGCCGCAACTAGAGAAATCCTGTGCACAGCAACAAAGACCCAACACAGCCAAAAATAAATAAATAAATAAATAAATATTTCTAAAAATGAATTCATTTCTCCCAAGAGTTTATGACAAGGGGAGGGGCAAGAAAAATGCATAAATTGCTACTGTATTCTACTTGTGGAAAACCTAATCTTGTTTTCTACCTAATCAGAGAATTTAATGGTTAATTTAACGACTTACATTGTTAACGTGAGAAACTGCCAGATAGATTTAGAGAATTTCTAAGACTCAGTGATGGCACAAAGGGATGGTTTCAGAGAGCCTTATATCACAGCCCTCCCAATCTTCCTCAGCTCCTAAATAGACCAGCGGTCTGAATGAAACAGTGTGCTTACTTTACATACAGAGTCTCAAGACACATCCTCTAACTCCCACTTCTAACCAGTCACTCTGGATTCCCTCTTTTATAATTTAAGCCACTGCTACTAAGAACCCCTTCCACCTCTAACATTAACTTATAATATTGGGCTATGTTACTCAAGTGTAGTAAATTCTTAAATGTAGTATTTCTTAAATCCCAACCTAGACGGGATCTCTGCTGTTGTATATTGTGAATTCTTTTCCATCTTAGGAAGGTTCAGAGTTTTCCTTTCAGCATTTCAACACACTGTCTTAATTCCATGGTCATTAAGTTCCTGCAGGTCAGCCATGTGACATTTGCAACTTGGATACCCATAAACCTAAATATGCAGTGTGCAGGGGAGGAATTTCTTATTATATTCTTGAGCCTGAGGCAGTCTTGGTACTGATGTAACTGTGCTAAAAAGGGTTTGTAAGAGTGAGTGAAGGGTCTTGTTTTTGGTATTGCTACAGTAGTTGTCAGAGCCCTTAGGAACTGCTATTATCATTCCTTTGTTTAATCACAAAGTGTCAGCCATTTAATTAAAATGATACCTAAAAGATATATATATGTGTGTGTATATTTATCATAGATAGATATTAGAATATATTTGAATTGTATATTAGAAAGCTTTTAAAAGCTTGAAAGTTAAAAACTCTTAAACTTTCTAATAGGAAGAGTTTAATTTTATTCTAGGCACCAGCAAGAGCAGAAAAAGGAGCATAGTGTTTTCTTGCTATAGTTTCTTGTTCACAAAGCACAGAGGAAAAAAGATTTCAAAAATCTACCAAATCAAGATCCTCTGTCAGATAATGCCTGTCCAATTCAACTGGGTAAAAAATGTTGCCTTTTTTAAATGGAAACTCTAGGATGTCTAATATTTTTGTCTCCTCAAAGTATGAACTATTAGATAACAAACAACCCTCTGATACAGATTGTAAGCATTACCCAGATTTGAATATATAATCTTTTCTTTCAGACTTCCTATTTAACTTCATACATTGCTTTTGCCAGTAGATGCATCCATTAAGCATAAACATAATACCCTGCTCTCAATCCCAGATGCTAAGACTGACAGTGGAGATAAAACAGATGCATATAAAGTTTTATAATAGAGAGTACCTGAACAGTCAGTTACAGTGTATGCATTTTTCCTTTTATGGTTAAGAAAAGGAAGAAGGAAAGCATTAGATTTAGGAGAGAGAACCAAAGAAAGGTGATTTGTAAATATTTTTATTCCTCCTTTACACGGTGGGAGGGTCCCTAAAAATGTTTGACGAAATCTTCTTTATGTTAATGTCAGATGCACTAAGGAAGTGATTTCCAGGTGTTTTTGATATATCTAAGCCTTTGATCTGCTTTGGAAAGATTACCAGGTGATTCTGTGCATCCTTCACATTTGTGAATCATAACACTGATCGTTCTTATATTTTATGAAAACTTTGTTATGCATTTGCATAAAATTATTATTTATTTTTTAAACCAGACTGGATATTTAATTAGCCCCAATTTATCTTTATACAAGATTAGATTGGGGGATATCATTTTTTTAAGGTGATGTATCTCTGACTGTTGTTCATACTGATGGACAAGTTGTTTTTGTCATTCATGCTCAGCAAAATGACATTTCAGGATGGTGAGAGAAGAAAAATAATTGATGGAAGAAGGTGGACACTATTATAAAATAACTGGCTCAAAAATTGTAAAATATTTGTTTTGTTGTTTATTCAAAAGAAATTGTTGCATATTAAAAAGTGTTATTTTGGGCTTCCCTGGTGGCACAGTGGTTGAGAGTCCGCCTGCCGATGCAGGGGACACGGGTTTGTGCCCTGGTGTGGGAAGATCCCACATGCTGTGGAGCGGCTGCGCCCATGAGCCATGGCCGCTGAGCCTGCAGTCCAGAGCCTGTGCTCTGCAATGGGAGAGGCCACAACAGTGAGAGGCCCACGTACTGCAAAAAAAAAAAAAAAAAAAAAAAAAAGTGTGTTTAATGAAGTCACCGAGCTGACAAAAGTGTTTTATAGGGTTCCATTTCTGAACTTTTCTCTTGTATAGAAGAGCACACACCATTTTGATAAATTATGAATCAGCCATTAAACTCTCCCTGTTTAATAAATGATCAATACATTTATTGATTAAGTTCTACATTCAGTATCTCATTTAATTCTCGAAATAATCACATTGGATTGTTACTGTTATTTACTCCGTGTTATAGATGAAGTTGAGGCACATAGATGTCAATAGGTTACACAGTAAGAGATAAAACTTGAACTTACGTTTAAGTTCTCTGACTTGACTCCATAACCTTATGCACATTGCTCTCTACTGCCTCCTATGCAATATGCTACCTTATCCCCGTTATGGTGACCTTTACCCCATCTCTCATAGTCATCCAGTAGGCTGACCTTATTTCTGACTATATCATTGTAATTAAGCTGATTTATAAAACAAGTAGAATGATCAACTGTCCTGTTTTGCCTAGAAATTCCCCAGTTGTAGAATTTTAAAGTCCTGCATCCTGGGAGCCCCCCTCAGTTCTAGGTAAACTGGGACTCTTGGTCACTTTCATCCTGTTCCTATTCTTCATTCAAACCCTGTCCCTGCATCTCATTTCATTCCTCATCCCTCAACCCTTGGTATCTTGGAAATGAGATATGAGATTAGAGAATTAGGTATGAATCGGGATTTTAAAAAATGTATATGTACTTATTGGTATTGAAAACAGTATTTATATGTTTTGATAATTCTGTATCTATCCACTTCAAAATAGGTCTCCTCAGAATGTGGAGAATTAGCACATTAGCGCATACTATCATGTTTCACTTTGCACGTAAAGCACGTAAAGCGAATTGACATAATATACACCAAACACATTTTATTCAATATTATTATGTATTATTTGACATTTTTATAAGAATTTTTGTGTATTATAAAAGATATTATAGTATTTTAAGAACTTAATTTGGTTTGCTTTTATATGTTATGATGTATTCATATGTTAGAACAATAAGCATATTTTTAAAAGTTAAGAAAAGAGCATATATATTTTCATTCACCAAAACAACAGACACTCCAGTGTATACTTCTCTTTCTTGTTATGGCAAGGTAGGAGCAGGAGGAAGAAGAGAGTGTTGTTTGAAAGAGAAGGAAAAAGGGGAGAAATTCAGAAGCAGAAAGAAGAGAAGGGTTTTCAAGGCAGAAAGAGAAGTAGACAGATTCTTGACGTCCTGGTTGTTTTCCCTATTTAGGACTTACTGCCATTTGTGCAAATTGGGTTTGATTTTGGGGTCCAGTTAGTAGAGAATCATGAGGAAGATGCAGTCTCTCTGAATTTAGATAAAATAAGAGAACTTTCATTTTTGAAAGGTTTAGCAATATATTTAGGGTTCATTCAGCTCTCTGTAGACAAGTCAAAAACAGACTCACTTCTCTGAAGTCTATGCAGTGCATGAAACATATTGAACGTTGAGTTCAGTTGGGTAGCACATTTAAGTTCTATACTTAAGGACTTACGTGTACTCTGAGCTTGCTTAACTGTATTTAGTTTCTGGTTTATAAGACATTGGATAATATGACAGAGTATACCACCATCACATTTTATATGATTGTTGTCTGTTTATGTTCTTATATGGAGTTCTATTTTGAATTTGATACTGACTTCAGAGTTTGGGTAGGCACTTTCATACATCATCATGTTAAGGAGTAGAATAATGATCTACTCCTTAAGTAAGTTAATTATCATTCATCCTGCTACTATTTTTTTTTTTTTTTGCGGTACGTGGGCCTCTCACTGTTGTGGCCTCTCCCGTTGCGGAGCACAGGCTCCGGACGCACAGGCTCAGCGGCCATGGCTCACGGGCCCAGCCGCTCCGTGGCATGTGGGATCTTCCCGGACCGGGGCACGAACCCGTGTCCCCTGCATCGGCAGGCGGACTCTCAACACCTGCGCCACCAGGGAAGCCCTTGCTACTATTTTTTTCACGTGTTTTTTGTGAATGCATTTCTGCATTACGTCTTCTGCATTATGTTTTCAAGATTGTTCTTTTTGTATTAATGGATTCAAAGAGATTCCAACTTTATAATACCTGTGCCATATGTTTTCATTAACTGTTGAATGCTTGACTTTCATATTCTTTTTATATGTAAGAGTGTTGGTAGTTCTTTATTACAAAGAACTGTAGAAGAGGATATTGCCTTACCTTACAAAACAAGATTTAGGTTTGATTTATAACCACCACCAAAGTAACATTTCTGTAAGTGAATATTTTATCGTAGCACTAGACTCCCAAATGAAATGGTTGAATACCATCTGCACATATCCAGAAGAAGATGCTTGTCTCTTTGGGATTGTTTAGATCACAATTTATTTTAAACAGAAAAAAAGAGGATTGATGTTTGCTTTGGGAAGTGAATTAGGCTTTACTTCTCAGAACTTATGCAATAACAGCTCTTACTCCTATGGGTTTAAAAATCAATTTATTATTGTGAAGTATTTGATAAAATGTTTCTTTTTACACATGAGTTAGGAAGGTACAGGTTTTGTCTTTGAAAAGTTCTATTTACTCTGTGTCCTCTTTCCAAAATATCTTACTCAATATTCAATTATTTTTTAAAACAGTATTTTCCTGTTTTTGAAGACTATAGAACAAATTATGTTATCTTTCTTACTGCACAGTTGGAGAATTTGATGCTGGATAAAGATGGCCACATAAAAATTACAGATTTTGGACTTTGCAAAGAAGGGATCACAGATGCAGCCACCATGAAGACGTTCTGTGGTACACCAGAATATCTGGCACCAGAGGTAGGCTATGTTTCCATTCATAGCAAAAAATAATATAATGTGTGATATAATGTTTTGCAAAGTAAACCATTTAAGCATTAAACAAATAGTAATGTCTACTACTTTGACCTGGATTTCAACATGAATCAAATCTGTTTTGCTCCCACTTGTTCAACATGGTATTCTAGGGCAAAAATATATATAAGTTAAACTTTATAAACTATATAAGTACAAAGATACTGGTAAGAACAATAAAGTCCATTTTTATTTCTTGGCCATCTGTGTTTTATTTCTTGATTATACCTATTTTATTTCATTTATTAAAATAGAATAATTGAATGACTACAGCAAGAATGTGAACAGTTTTATAAACCGTCTTGGATTTTCCTTAGAAACAAAGAAACTGATCATTTGTATTTGTAATAGTGCGGGTTTTCATACTTAATTATTGGGAAGTATTTCATTGGGAGAGTTAATGAAATGACAGTAGCTATATTTTGGAAATCATGCCAAACCAAAGCAAGCTTCAACTAGTGCCCTCCCCATGCTGAGGATTCCATACTAATTCATTAATTTGTTTATTCAAACAATTATGTATTATTCATCTACTATATACTGGGTATTTTTCTGGGTGGTGTGTTTATACGAACAAGACACAAAGGACCCTGCTCTCAGGGAACTCACTTCTGGTGGAGGGAGACAGAATAAAAATATATATATAACAATGTCATGCGATGAAGATGTGTCATGTCATGAAGGAAAAGAAGCTAGATAAAGGGAGGTTGTGGTGTGGTGGATGTGTTAGGTAGTGTTCTCATTACTATTACTACAAAACAGACCACTGCAAAACCTAACCATTTTATGTGATTGAAGGTTCTGAGTCCGGACA